TGTTAACACTGCATTAAAGGAAACAAGATCTACCTTTCAAATACACCTAACATCTGAATCCACTCACATAATCATGTTGCCTCGTAATTTAAGTTATCTTCTCTTCTTACAAAAGCTCTCTCTGCATTCAGGGTTCTGCCCATCTGTTTTGCCTGCATTTAAGCCTACATTGGTACACTCGGTGTTTTTGAGCACCTGTTTTAGGCTTATGCGTGTGGCTCAGATTTGGGGCCTGTTATGCCAGGCATCATCTCCCTTTCCAAACTTTGGCAATGAAGCCTTCCCAGTATACACAACTTCTGCATGGCTGAGCTTGGAATAAGGATAACATTTCTGCTATTCCCTTGTAGCTTCGAAGGTAGCTGTTTAGAAAGAGAGGACGAGACCACAGTTTGGAGCTGTATCTCTGGCTCGGAGCAATTGGTTTACTTTTAGCACTGTTATGGGTAAGGAACTGTAATTGAAAACACAGTGCCTCCATTCTGCAACCCATTTGGGATGTTAAAAAATCTTTGGAAGGAGAAAGAGGAGTTGGTTCTTGTTTTCATTAACAGCTTTCTTCAGATTGTGATCTTGGGAATGAAGCAGGGAAATGAAGCAGAGGTGTGATTGTGTCTAAACTTTGCATTTAGAAATTCAGCAGATCTCATTACATTAAAGGCTTGGATTGTATGGCATGGATGCCAGCATTGCACAGTGCACACTGCTATTGTTTCTTTCCAACACTGGTTTCCAGATGCCAGTTTCTTACCCCTCCCATCCCCTGCTTTCTCACACACAAACACACACAGACACACACCCCTTCCTTTGTATGTGGAGACATAATAAAATAATAAATAAATAAAAAAAATATTCTTTCAAAATAATTATTTTGAATTATTATTTTTTTAGTTTTAGTGTGTTGCTTCTAATTGTTATTTTGTTCATTAAGTTAAATTAGGTTGTTATATGGCTGAATGTGTTTATTTTGATGTGATTTGCTGTATGGTTTTCTTTCTGGCAATTGAATGTTTGCTTTATATGTTAGAAAGCACCTTGCATCCCATCGCGGAGATAGGGTGCTATACAAATAAATTATTATTATTATTATTATTATTATTATTATTATTATTATTATTATTATTTAAAGGTAGGTAAAAGTTTTCCCCTGACATTAAGTCCAGTTATATCCAACTCTGAGGGTTGGTGCTCATCTCCATTTCTAAGCCAAAAAGCCAGCATTGTCCATAGACACCTCCAAGGTCATGTGGCCGGCATGACTGCATGGAGTGCCATTATTATTATTATTACTATTATTATTAGGTAAAGATTGGTAAAGGTTTTCCCCTGAGATTAAATCCAGTCATGTCTGATTCTGGGGTTGGTGCTCATCTCCATTTCTAAGTCAAAGAGCCAGCGTTGTCCTTAGACACCTCCAAGGTCATGTGGCTGGCATGACTGCATGGAGCACCATTATTATTATTATTTTATTATTATTATTATGAAACAGACAAAGTTGCTACCAAGTGTACCTTCTATTTAATAATTGTACCTTAGTTTTAATAATTTCCTCCACATATTATTTAAAAATTACTACTCAGGTTCTTCTGTTATTCAGTTGTTAAGCGGTTGAGGCCTCTGAAACATTTGAACACTTAGGGACTTATTTTACCCCTACACTTCAATTAATATACTAGGGGAACTAAAACAACTATACTTATTATATGAAATGCATTGAGACAGGGTTGGGGGGCGGAAAGCCTATTGCTATACTCTACGTACAGAAGAACTGCAGTAGCAAGCAGTTGATACTTATTTTGAAGCTGGTGATGGGGTGATGGGACAATGTACTTAGGCACTGGTACACACAGTACAGAGACCTCAGCGGTGCAGCAGGTTAAACCTCTGAGCTGCTAAACTGAAGGTCGGTGGTTCAAATTCAGGGAGTGGGGTGAACTCCTGCTGTTAGCCCCAGCTTCTGCGAACTTAGCAGTTCGAAAATATGCACAAATGTGAGGAAATAAAGAGGTACCACTTCAGTGGGAAGGTAATGGTGCTCCATGCAGTTATGCCGGCTACATGACCTTGGAGGTGTCTACAGACAATGCCAGCTCTTTGGCTTAGAAATGGAGATGAGCACCACCCCTCAGAGTGTCAAGAGGAAACCTTTATCTTGAAGTCCAAAACACCTGGAGGCCCATGCTTGCACTAGAGGCTGAAGTTTGCCCATGCTTGCACTAGAGGCTGTTGGACTGCAGTTCACATTGGCACCAGTGAATACACAACCCTGTGTGTTCAATGGGGAGGGATGATGGGAAGTGCAATCCAACAGCAATGGGGGAAGGATGATGGAAAGTGCAATCCAACAGCATCTGGAGAGCCTCTTGGAAACTATAGCAATTTTAACACAGAATTAGAATTGGAAGTGGTGAGCTGTCCGGGGTGCTGCGCCTTCTTGGTCCTGGGTAGAGTTCAGCACTTTGGACAGTTCCTTGAATGTTCACACTTCAGCCCAGCATGGAAGTCCCACTTAACTGCCTTTGAAGTCATCATCTATTAGGAGACCATCCCTGTGAGCAAATGTGCTTTAACCTAACTGCTAGGGAAATGTATCTGTCTCTGAGCAATTGCATTCTAATGTGGACATTGGCTGAACAGTTTCCACCTATTGGCTAGTGTGCATTTCATCACCTTCCCTCACTTCCCAGACTGGAAATACTTTATGCCCTCCTCATGTAAGGTTTATACACAAACACACGCACACATCTATAAATATTTAGATTTATAGTGTATGCATGTTTTGTTTGTGTGTGTGTGTGTGGATAGCTGCAAAGAATATGTAACTATCCAGCAAATACCATGGAGGTTAATAGGTGTGGGTCCCAGAGGTGATATTTTGGAGAAAAATGACTATAATGCAGGCATGGGCAAACTTGGGCCCTCCAGGTGTTTTGGACTTCAACTCCCACAATTCCTAACAGCCTACCAGCTGTTAGGAATTGTGGGAGTTGAAGTCCAAAACACCTGGAGGGCCAAAGTTTGCCTATGCCTGCTATAATGAGATGTGGAAGCCAATCTGCCACTAATCTGTAGCAGAATTATGCCCTGGAAACTCCTTCAGTGCATCTATACTATAGAATTAATGCAGTTGGAAGCCACTTTTAACTGCCATGGCTCCATGCTTTTGGAATACTGTGATGTGTAGGTAAAGCTACAGACTCAGTCAAGGTGGCATCAAAGTGCATCAACTCTGCAGTGTAGATGCATCCTCTGGGCATTTGCCTCCTCCCATTCCTGCCTACCATTTATTTTCTTGCAGTCAAGAAAGCTGGGTTTTCGTAGGATTGATTGGGAGAAGGTCTTCAGACAAATGCCACACAAACTGTAGCACAACTTTTGAAGCACAACGTGGATGCCATTCTCTCCCTGAAGCCTTTGCTCACCCATTGGCGTCTCGAACTTTCAGACTTCAGTAACTTCCTTCATGATTCCAATGTCAACTTTCAAGTAATTCTGTTGCATGAAGAGCTAACACCTGTTGTCCATTTATTTATTTATTTTTATTTATTGTGCAAACATAAGGTCTTTGGCAAGCAACCGCACACTGTTCTTGACATTGATGGGAATGCATCACCTGTATCTGCCTGTGTGGGCGCGTCTATTGTCAGTGAGAGAACCTATTTCGGGTGCATCTGCACTGTACAATGAATGCAGTTCAACACCACATGGCTCAATGGTATGGAATCCTGAGAGTTGTAGTTTGGTGAGGCACAGTCTTGGGCAGGAGAAGGTAAAGGTTTGGTAAAGCGACCAAGCCTCTCATGGAGGGCGCTGGGATCAAGAAGAGATCCGGATCCCGCGATCCTCTCCCGAAGATCCCTTTGGGGCTGGTCGATCCGTCTCCAGGCACAAAAAAGAAACTTCCAGAAAGAAGAGGGAAGGGGAGGGAAGGGGGAAGGGAAGGGAAAAGGAAAAGGAAAAGGAAAGGAAAAGGCAGGGAAGGGAAAGGAAAGAAAAAGGAAAGGAAGGGAAGGAAGGGAAAAGGAAAGGAAAAGGAAAGACGGGGAAGGGAAAGGAAAGGGTAGGGAAAAACAAAGAGTAAAGGAAAGGAAATGAAAAGGAAAGGCAGGGAAGGGAAAGGAAAGGGAAGGGAAAAGCGAAGGGAAGGGAATGGAAAAGGAAGGAAGGGAAGGAGAAAAGAAAGGAAAAGCAAAGGGAAGTTAAAGGGAGGGAAAGGAAGGGAAGCAAAGCAAAGGAAGGGAAGGGAAGAAAGGGGAAAGGAAGGGAAGGGAAGGGAAAAGGAAAGGAAAAGGAAAGGCAGGGAAGGGATTGTATTGTTATGTTGTGTGTTGAGGCCTCGGCCTGTGTAAGCTGCATCGAATCCTTCGGGAGATGCTACCGGGGTACAAATAAAGTATAATAATAATAATAATAAAAAGGGCAGGGAAAGGCGAAGGGAAGGAAAAGGAAAAGAAGGGAAGGAAAAGGAAATGATGGAAGAAAGGGAGGAAAGAGAGGAAGAGAAGAAAGGAAGGGCAGAAAGGAAAGAAGGGGAAGAAGAAAGGAAAGGAAGGAAGGAATTAAAGATAGAGCGAGAAAAAGAGAAAAGGAAGGAAGGATGAAAAAGAAATGAAAAGAAAGTTGGGAAAGAAGAAGGAAGAAGGAAAGGAAGGAAGAAGAAAGAAGGAAGAAGGAAGGAAAGAGAGAGTGAGAGAAGGAAATAAAAGAGAGAGAAAGGGAAAAAAGGAAGGAAAGATAAAGAAGGAAGAAGGAAAGGAATAGCCTCCTCCTCCCTCCCTCCTCCTCCTCCTCTCTCGCATCCTCTTGACAAGCACCGCCGGGGCCTTTTCCCAGCCGTGGTGGGGGCCCGGGAAGCTGTGTACGGCAAGGGCAGGATGTTCGCAGGCTGGGCCAGCCAGAGGGGAAACATGAGCAAGCGCCGCCATTCACGTTCCGGGGCCCGGAGGCTCTCGCCCGGGCAATAAAGGGCGGAGCGGCGGGAGCGCGGGCAGGGCTTTCTTCGCGGGTCCCGAAGAGAGAGAGAGAGAGAGAGAGAGAGAGAGAGAGAGCCTGCGGGGTCTGCCGGGCTGCCTCTCTCTCAGTCTCTCTGCGGCGGGAGCGGGGATGGGAGTGGGAGACGCCGCCCGGACACCGACGCAGCCCCCACCGAGCCCAGCCCCTCGCCTCGGGCGACAGGTAGAGATGGGGCGGCACGGGGGGGGGGGGGAGAGAAGGACACCCTCTTCTTGGTCTAGCCCAGGCAAACTTCGGCCCTCCAACCACCCACTGCTAGGACTCCAGCGCATTGAATGTGCTGTCAACCCGCAGTGGCTCCATCTCCTCTTGGATGATGCCTGGGCGCATCTTCCCTTTTCCCTCCTCCTCCTCCTCCTCCTCCTGCTCATTGATCGATTCCTGTATTGATTTATATGGCGCTTTGCACGTACAAGGACGAGGCGGCAGTTCCCTGCTCTCTCTCGGGTTGACGATCTCATGGAGAGGAGATCCCATTCCAAAGACTCTTCCTTTCTTTCTCTCTTGATTTGTATCTTCCCTTTGGCGTTCTGAGTCTGTCTCAAATAAGGGAGGGTTTGCCTATTCGGAAAGGCATTGAAAAGGGAAGGAAGGAAGGAAGAAAAATGAGAGGGAAAAGGGAAGGAAGGAGCAAGAGAAAGAAGGAAGGAAGAAGAGAAGGAAGGAGGAAGAGAAAATAGGAAGGAAGGAGAGAGAAAAGGAAGGAGAAATCAGAAAGGAGAAGAGAGGGGGAAGAAGAATGAAGTAAGGAGGGAAGGAAGGAGGAAGAAGGAAGAAAAGAGAAGGAAGGAAGGATGGAAGGAAAGAAGAAGAAAGAAGAAAAGGAAGGGAGGAAGAAGAGAAGAAAGAAGAAGAGGAAGAAGGAGGAAAAATAGAGAAGGAAGGGAGGAAGGAAGGAAGGAAGGAAGAAGGAAGGAAGGAAGGAAGGAAGGACATAGAATCAAAGAGTTGGAAGAGACCTCATGGGCCATCCAGTCCAACCCCCTGCCAAGAAGCAGGAATATTGCATTCAAAGCACCCCTGACAGATGGCCATCCAGCCTCTGTTTAAAAGCCTCCAAAGAAGGGGCCTCCACCACACTCTGGGGCAGAGAGTTCCACTGCTGAACGGCTCTCACAGTCAGGAAGAGAAGGAAAGAAGAAGAGAGGGAAGGAAGGAAGGAGAGAGAAAAGGGAGGAAGGAGAAAACAGAGAAAGAAGAAGAGAGAGAGGGAATGAAGAAATGAGTAAAGGAGGGAAGGAAGGAAGGAAGAAGAGAGGGGGGAAGGATGGAGGAAAGGAGGAAAGGAAGGAAGGAGGAAGAGAAGGAAGGAAAGAAGGAAGGAAGAAGAGAGGGAAGGAAAATCACTCTTCTTCCACGATTAATCTGTGTAGAATCGAGGAAGGTCTGTGTGTGTATCTTTCGCGTCACACCTGGATAAGAAAAAGAAGGAAGGAAGGAGAAAACAGAATGAAGAAGAGAGAGGGAAGGATGAAATGAGCAAAGGAGAGAAGGAATTAAGAAGAGAGGGGGAAGGATGGAGTAAAGGGGGGATGAAGGAAGAAGAGAAAGAAGGAACGAAGAAGTGAGGGAAGGAAGGAGTAAAGGAGGGAAGAAAGGATGGGGAAGATCACTCTTCTTCCACGATTAATCTGTGTAGAGACGAGGAAGGACAGATACTTGTGTGTGTGTGTATATATTTCGCGTCACGCGTGGATAAGAAACTCGGGATCCTGTGTTTATTTGGTGACGTGAGGGGAACTTGTTTTCCGAACACGCGTGGGCTGCGCTCGTCAATCGTGGTGCGTGTACACCATAGAGTGGGAAACCACTGCGTTAATGCAATCGTGAGAATTGTAGTACTGCAAGATCTGGAGCCATCTCTGCGCCAAGCTACAAATCCCACAGTTTCCTAGCCCTGAGCCAAGGCAGTTAAAATACTGTCGGAGTGTATTCAGTTCAAGTGACGCATTAATTTTACAGTGTAGATCAGGCATGGGCAAACTTGGGTCCTCCGGGTGTTTTGGACTTCAACTCCCACCATTCCTAACTTCAACTCCCACCTTTCAGGGCCTGAGGCTGTTAGGAATGGTGGGAGTTGAAGTCCAAAACACCCGGAGGACCCAAGTTTGCCCATGCCTGGTGTAGATGTACTGTCTATGATTCTGGAGCCCAGGTTTCTAATTCCTTCTGGGTTATGGAAGCTCTCCTTGGGCGCGTCACACTCTCTCAACCTCAATGTTTGAGAAAGAAGCGGCGAAGCGAAAGAAGGACACGCGGGGAGCACCGCGGAGCCCAGACACGTGTCTGGACCCCCGATGCGCGTTTAGGATCCGCGCCCTCCCGCTTCCCATCAGCGCCAGTCTGTGCGACATCCTAGCAAATATTGACAGTGTGGACGTTGGGATTCTTTATTTTGCTTTCGCTCGAGGCTTTGGAGAGGCCCGGATGGAGAAAGAGAGAAAGCAAAAAAAGGAAGAGTGGGGAAGAGAGGCAATCCGTACCTTCCTTCTCCCAGGTCGAATCGATCCTGCGTCAATATCTGAATTGATGGCAACTCCATGAATTCTATAAGCTTTTCTTTATGCAAGGAATAATCAGAAGTAGTTTACTATGGAAACCTGGGAGTTGGCATTTGACAACTTCTTCTCTGTCAAGGGGTCCTGGGGTGCCTCACCAAACTACAACTCCCAGGATCACATAGCATGGAACCAAGGCAGTTTAAAGGAGTATCATGCGGCATTCATTCTGCATGGATTTAAACTATGGGTTTTAAAAGATTTCATTCTGTTTTAATGTTGGTCTGTTTTAGATTTTGAAATGCTGAGGAAAAAGTGGGGTATAAATAAAAATTGATAATAATAAGGATAATAATAATAATAATTCTACAGTTTAGATTTGAGTCTGTTGTAGAGAGAGAAAGCTAGGTATTATTATTATTATTAATAATAATAATAATAAAAATTGTCGAAGGCTTTCATGGCCGGAATCACTGGGTTGTTGTAGGTTTTTTCGGGCTATATGGCCATGTTCTAGAGGCATTCTCTCCTGACGTTTCGCCTGCATCTATGGCAAGCAACCTCACTACCTCTGAGGATGCTTGCTATAGATGCAGGCGAAACGTCAGGAGAGAATGCCTCTAGAGCATGGCATATAGCCCGAAAAAACCGACAACAACCCAATAATATAAATAATAATAAGGATGATAATAATTCTACTGTTTAGATTTGAGTCTGTTGTGGAGAGAGGAAGCAGGGTATAAATAAAGATAATAATAATATGAATAATAAGAATGATAATATTAATAATTCTGCTGTTTAGATTTGAGTCTGTTGTGGAGAAAGAAAGCAGGATATAAATAAACAACAACAACAACAATAAGATGATAATAATAATTCTGCTGTTTAGATTTGAGTCTATTGTAAATAGAGAAAGCAGGGTATAAATAAACATAATAATAATAATAATAATAATAATAATAATAATAATAATAATAATAATAGGGATGATAATAATTCTACTGTTTAGACATGAGTCTGTTGTGGAGAGAGAAAGCAGAATATAAATAAACATACTACTACTACTATTACTACTAATAAGGATGATAATAATAACTCTACTGTTTAGATATGAGTCTGTTGTGGAGAGAAAAAGCAGGGTATAAATAAATATAATAAATATAATAATAATAATAATAATAATAATAATAATAATAATAAATTTCTCCCCCAAGATGAAACTCCAAACATGCAGAGAGGCCTTTTCACACCACAGGGATAACAATACCTGCCATGGGAATGTCCCATAGAACCTCATGACTTGTAAAGCTGAAAGTGCATCATCTACACACTGTAGAATCAATGTAGTTTGCCGCAGCTTTAACCGCCATGGCTCAATGCTATGGAAGGACGAGAGTTCTAGTTTAACAAGGTCTGTATCCTTCTCTTCCAAAGAGTGCTGGTGCTTCACCAAACTGGTTCCAAACCGCATTAATTCTTACAGTGTAGCCGCACCCAAAAATTCCCTTCTCCTAATCTACACCCATCGATTCAAATCAAAGGAAAGCAAGCTCACATCTCTGGACATGACACAGATATATAAATCCAATTTTCCTGGTTTCCAACAGACCTCACAACCTCTGAGGATGCCTGCCACAGAAGTGGGTGAAATGTCAGGAGAGAATGCTTCTGGAATATGGCCATACAGCCTGGAAAACTCACAACAACCCAAGCTCGCACCATCAATATAAATTATCCTAATTATAATCATATAATCCGCGCAATAGCAATGGCAACAAGCTTGCAATAACAAGAATTTTCCCTCCAGTGTTCAATGCTTGTTTGGGGGGTGCTGAATGCATATGTCGCAAAATATCGTGACTTTTATTTTTGTACTAATTGTTCAATCCCGTTGTGATGCCACTCACATGTTTACAACATAACAAAGCAAGATGTGTATGGGTTCATACGGGGGACGACTACATATTGGAGCAAACTTGAACTCGTTTTCGTGATTTAGAACATCCTTACAAAACCAAACATGTGTCTGATGATTTTCAACGTGTCTTTTAGGTCGTACAAGTCTGTTATTTCCTTAAATTACTTTGAGCGCGCTCTCAAATACTGACAGCCTGCCTCCCTGTCCGCACTGGCTGCGCGAAACGCGTTGATTCCGCTGTAGCTGCTTCTTTTTGCGTGCTTGGAACTCAGGTCTCTTCCCTGCCTGGTGCGCATGCGCTTGGCTTCTCTCTGTGTCCGAGTGATAGTAGTAATAGCCTTGTAATCAGCTGCGGGTCTTCCTTCTCTCTTTCAGAGCTGCCGCCGCCGCTGTCTCCACAGCGCCCCTTGTGGCCACTTCTGAGCAGAGCGCAGAGCGCACCGTGCGGCTCAAGGCAAGGAAGGAGCCCCTCTTCCTCCTCCTCCTCCTCCTCCTCGGGCATCATGAACCCCGCCATCGTCTTCAACAAGCTCAGCAGCCAAGTGCTCTTCGAGGACAGCGGCGCCTCGGAGAGGGAGCGGGGCGGCGGGCGGCCCTTTGGGGGCGTCCTGGAGGTCTCCCCGCATCACCCCGAAGTCCTCCTCCCGGACAGACCCTCCATCAAGGACAACCTCAGCCTCAGGCACCGCAGGACAGGGTAGGAACGGGGTGGGGTGGGGTGGGACATGATTCTGCTGCTGGGAACTGCAAATCCCAGCACCCCCTGCCCAGCAGGATCAGTCAACCAGCGTTGGGGAAAATTGGGAAGCTGATTCAAGATAGGTCTGCAGCTCTTCTCATCCCCTGCCTAGTGTGCTCAACCAAGCAGGGCTGGGTTGTGTGTGGTTTAGGGAATTGCAGCTTTTTGAGTCGTTTTGCAGAGAGAGAGGGGTTCAGAGATCGATCCTGGTGAGAACTACAACTCCCCAAACCCTCCTACTGGGCAAGGACAATCACCCAGATTGCTCTCGCTGACTTTTTGGGAATTGTAACGTCTCAGATCTCTTAGGTACCATCTACACAGCCGAATAAAACCTCATATTGTCTGCTTTGAACTGGGGATTCTATGATATTGAGGGATTTTCTGCCTTGGTATTCTGGGTTTTAGGGCTGTGTGGGAGGGCCTTTAGTTGCAGGGAGCATGGGAGATTGATTTTGGTTGGGACTGCAAATCCCAGAATCCCCTGCCTGGTGTGCTTAATCAGCCAGAGCTGGGTGTGTGCTTGACTTTTTTGGAACTGTGATTTCTCCACATGCTTAGGGTGCCTCTGCCTTGTGAAATGAATGTAGTATAATCCCCTTGTAGTTGCCATGGCTCAATGTGATGGGATCATGGGAGCTGTAGTTTGATAAGGCCTTTAGCCTTCCCTAAGGCCCCACCAAGCTACAGATCTCAGGATTCCATAGCATTGTGACTCTTTTGGAATTGTCACTTCTCAAATCTTCTTGGGTACGTCTGCACCAGACATGGGCAAACTTGGGGCGTTTGGGTGTTTTGGATTTCAACTCCCACCATTCCTAACAGTCTCAGGCCCCTTCCTTTTCCCCCTCAGCCGCTTAAGCGGCTGAGGGGGGAAAGGAAGGGGCCTGAGGCTGTTAGGAATGGTGGGAGTTGGAGTCCAAACACCTGGAAGGCCCAAGTTTGCCCATGCCTGGTCTACATCCTCAGAGTCAGCATGTGTGAAGAAGTCTGCTGCTGTTTCTTGCCTGCCGTTTCTTTCACTGACGTCCTATAGATTTCTTCATACCTTCGTTACTTGAAGTTTCTAAACTCAGCCTCCTTGGATTAGTCGGAACTAATCCCCGTGAAATTGAATTCGATTTCCATTTGTGTTTTGAGATTGCCTTCGCCACGCACATTTTGCAAAGATGCAAATCCCACAGTTGCATTCAAGAGGCTTGCTCCAAAGGACCTTTTTTAAAAACCTAAGATTGGAAAGTCAGCTTTGTGAATCAATAAATACAGGTGTGTTGTTGGAGGCTTTCATGACCAGAATCATTGGGTTGCTGTGAGTTTCCCGGGCTGTATGACCATGTTCCAGAAGCACCTTGGACATTTCACAGATATATAAACCCAATTTTCCTAGTTTCCAACAGACCTCACAACCTCTGAGGATGCCTGCCATAGATGTGGGCGAAACGTCATGAGAGAATGCTTCTGGAACCTGGCCAGACTGCCTGGAAAACTCACAGCAACCCAATGTGTACAGGATTAGAGTCCCATATTTTTTGTTTTCATAGCTAATTGCATTGGCCTTTTTGCTTAGTTGGAAACCTATTCCTCACTGTGTGTATATGTGTACAAGTTACCTGTCGACTCCATAAATTTCATAAGGTTTTCTTAGGTACAAAACACTCAAAGGTTGTTTTGCCATGTGGTTTGGAATGTGGTTTATAGCATCTGGTATTCATTGGTGGTCTCCCATCCAAGTACAAACCTGGACTGACCCCATTTAACTTCCATGATTAGATGGGATCTGTTGCCTTTAGGATATTTAAGCCCCTTGTTGTCTATATATCATTTTTCAATTGTTCTTGTGGTTTTGTGGCATTGATTTTTGCCTTGTAAACTACCTCAAGTCACCAGAAGGCTGAGAGGGGCGGTATACAAGTATAGTAAATAAATAAAAGTCTATATGTCATGTTAAATGAAGGCAAATGAGCTGGGACATTGTAGTCCCTTTACACACTTATACAAGAATATTAAACAGATTTGATTTGCATCCAAGTAGAAACAATTGAAAGATAAATTAAGCCAAATGAACTAAGATTTTTTTTCCATGTTAGGAGCGACTTGAGAATCTGCAAGTCGCTTCTGGTGTGAGAGAATTTGCCATCTGCCATGATGTTACCCAGGGGATGCCTGGATATTTTACCATCCTGTGGTAGACTTCTCTCATGTTCCCAAGTGGGAAGCTGGAGCTGACAGATAGGAGCTCATCCTGCTTTCCAGATTCAAACTGCCAACCTTTCTGTCAGCATTCCTGCCAGCATAAGGGTTGAACCCATTGTGGCACCAGGAGCTCCTACTAAGGAAAGTGATAGCATTATTATAGGCTGAATATCCCTTATCCAAAATGCTTGGGGCCATAAGTGTTTTGGACCCCCACCTCATTTTGGAATACTTATATTTGCATTTATTTGCATTATGAGATACTTCAGAGAAGGGACTCAAGTCTAAATATGAAATTCATGTATGCTTCATATACATGTTATAGCTTGAAAGTAATTTCATACACAATATTTTAACAAATTTGTACACAAAGATTGTGGGCATTGGACCAGCATAAAGCAGAGGGATCAATATTTCAGTTACTCACATGGACAGTTTCGGATTTTGGAGTATTTTGGAATCCTGGATAAGGAAAGCTCAACCTGTATTACGTAGTAAGGATGCAACAGTAATTTGGGAATGGCTAACACACAGTTCATTGGCTTTAAAGTACAGGAGAAGATTATTGCTACATATAGTTTTTGCCTGGCTTTTAGACCACCTTAGAAGTTGTCGAAGGCTTTCATGGCTGGAATCACCGGGTTACTGTGAGTTTTTCAGGCTATATGGTCTTCCAGAAGCATTCTCTCCTGACCTTACAGCCTTTGAGGATACCTGCCATAGATGTGGGTGAAACATCAGGAGAGAATGCTGCTGGAACATGGCCATACAGCCTGGAAAACTCACAGCAACCAACCTTAGAAGTGTTTTTCTTTAAAAGACTGTTAACTGCGAGTTTATTCAATTTTCCAATTTCTTATGATATTGATAACATACTTTTATATTAACTGTTGTAGCGTTAATCCAGACACAAAGTGCTCTCAATGCAGGGCCTGATCCCTATCTTTAACCCACTCAATTATGTGTCCCAATTAAAAAAAGGTTCTTCTATGTATTAAGAAATACACAAAAAGCATGTTGGAAGGCCGTTCAGCAAGATCATTCTAGACATCTTTCTGTACGAGTGAATGAAATGAAAGAGACTGAAGAATAAACATGTGTTAGATCTGATTGCATGTCTGTGACAAATTGCTAAATACTGTAATTATGAGAATGTGCTTTGAGGGACTTCTGAATGCAATAGACTTGGGGAGAGAAAATATTCTTATTGCAGAATTGCCAGTTACTGGCTACTGCTTCTTAATAGAATTTCAGGTTGGCAAGATGGGGTTATTGTGTTTCGTGGAGATGTTATTACCAGCTGATCCAGGTAGACTTAGATTTCAAATTAAATAGTAAAAGGCAAGAAGCCCAAGAGACTTAAAGGTGAGGCATTATGGTGGTGGGAAGAGTGGAACGGAAGAAGAGATGTAGCCTGAGAGCAACACCTTCTGGAAAAAATGTAGTATTACAATACCTTGAATATTTTGTTGAAGAACATGACCTGTGGACATCTCAGGCCAGGTAGCTAGTCTATGTCCCCCAGAGGAGCTAAATTCAACAATGGCCAAAGACGGCGGGTGTATCTACACCGTAAAATTAATGCAGTTTGGTGCTACTTTGACTGCCATGGCTCAATACCGTGGACTCAAACAACTACAAGGTCTTTGGTCTTCTCTGCCAAAAAATCCTGCTGTCTCACCAAACTACAAATCCCAGGATTCCATAGCATTGAGCCATAATAGTTAAAGTGGTGTCAAATTACATTAATATTACAGTGTAGCTCAGTGGTTCTGTGGGTCCCCAGGTGTTTTGACCTACAACTCCCAGAAATCCCAGCCAGTTCACCAGCTGTTAAAATTTCTGGGAGTTGAAGGCCAAAACATCTGGGGACTCACAGGTTGAGAACCACTGGTATAGATGCATTCCATGTGAACCATGTCCTGCATCCTGAAACATCTGGATATATATTCCAGTATAGCAGAATGGAAGGTGGACAGTTCTGGCATATAGGACACAATTCATTGATGAGGGTTTTTTAAATTTTTAACCCCAATTGAAATAAATAGGAACTGTCCTTGAGAAGCCATCACACATTTCATATACCGCTGAATAAACAGGAACATTATGTCTTCACTTCCGAGGGACATAAATCTTTGCCTATTTCATCCTTGCATGCAAGGACAAATAATTTCCATAACTTTCTCCCTGTTTTTCCCCAAGAGAAAACATTCTTACATAGTATTTTCTTTGTATTTGCCTATCCCAAAGTGCTCCGGGACATTATTTATTACACAAAAACACAAACAGTAGGGTTTTTTTCTGAACAAAAACGTATTGTTGGTTTGGAAAGTGTTTTCAATATGACAAAAAACATATTTGCAATGTCATAATACATGATTGGTGTGTAAAAAAATCCCTGGAGTATTTTGTGATGTATAAATATCACTGCACAAAAAGGTTGGTGCTGTGTCACTCTTTCCAATTGGATTTCTCAAGCCTTTTCTTGGCTTGGAATGAAAACAGAATAACAGCATTATTGTTGTGTAATGCATATGGGCTCCAAGCTGTATGTCATTTTTGTGCATTTAATTGTTTAGAATGCTTTGGTTTTAAATGTATGCCACTTGTGCGTGTGTATGCCTTTAAGTCCCCTGTCAGTTTATGGTAGTGGTTCTTAACCTGTGGTCCGCAGACTACCAATGGGTCCCGAGAGTGAAAATCTGGTCCACGAGCCTCCTTCGTCTTTATTGATTTACTTATTTATTTCCTCTCCTTTCGCGCTG